TACCGTTCATGGCCCGGCAGATCAACCGCCAGTAACCAGTCCCTCGCAGAGTCTAGCACAGATGGAGCGAATGCGTTTTGGTTGACCTTACCTTTTGGAACCTGTCTAGCCTTGAGGAAACGAATGGGGACGATGTTAGAACTGGCTCTGGCGTTAGCCCTCATTCTAGCCTGGTCAGCAACGGCTGCTAACTCTTTTAGCACCTTGTTGTGTCGCCAGGTATATCGCTTTGACCTAGGGCTTTCCTGCACGCGGACAGGACGTGCTCAAGAGTTTGCTTCGATTTACACAACGGGCAAGTCGGATCGTTGGTCGCAGACCATTTAACCATGTTAACACCGGACGGTAATACATCGTACGCCGCACGAACAATAAAGCTCAGTCGCAGCGGGGTCATCCGCCAGATCTCACCCCATGTGAGTACTCTTGGCAATGCGCTCTCCAGGCTGACCCAATGGCCCTGCTGCGACTGCTGTGCTGCTTTCTGAACCCGAACCTCGTTTTCGTTGTCCCTCAACGTTTGTATTACCATGTCTCGGCGTTCTTTGGCTGAGGCCTTTGACCACCAATTGACCTTTCCGTGCCCTAGACCTCGACGGTCGGTTTGAGTGTATCCCATTATCTCCTTCAATTTTAGTGCATTCTGGGCAGATTCTATCGCATCGAGGACCCTCCACTTCTGGTCAGTCTTTAGAGCGGGCTGGACAGCGATGACATTTGGGTCTGAAGACTCACGCAAGAGCATGGCGAGTCTTACTTTGCCAACTTTAAACTCTTCGGTTATCGATTTGAACGGGAGTACCAGCTTAGCCTGCTTACAATACAGAGCCACGTCGGTCAGACAAGGCGGTGCACCAATCCACTTACTTAAGGCTGTGTTGATTTTCTTCTCCATGGTTTCCACTGCAGTCATCGTCACCTCGTAGACTAACAGTGGCCATAGGTGCTTTAGAATCAACATGAATTGGAGACACCATACCTTGAATTTCCCGATTAGCCTGCATCGCTCGATCGCGAGCAGGCCTGTAGCCAGTGACTCGTGTATTCGCCGGACTTCCGCTCTCTCAGATAACTTCGAATCGTAAACGCGACCAAGGCTCTTCACCGGTTCCTCCAGAACCGTGGGGATCTTGTTCCGTGCCACCGTAAAACTGGTTGCCGACACCCTGCCCTTATGGATTGACAGACTCCTCGACTTCTGCGGTTTAAACTGCATTCCGCTCCATTGGACCACCGCGTCCAAACCTTTCAGGATCGTGCGGGCAGATTCCTCGCTGCCCGTTATAATAGTCGTGTCATCCATAAAGGCACGTAATGGCGGCATCCAGTGATCCCCAACTTGAAGGCCCTGTCCGTAGCCGGCCGCCCCGTCTAACATGATCTGCATTGCCATGACAAACAGTATAGGTGAGATCGTACACCCCATAGCTATCCCAATCTGCAACTCAGTCCACCTCGTGGTAAACGTCGAGGTAGAGAAGCGCAAAGCGAACTTAGAGAAATATTGCTCGATCATATCATTGATCTGTGTCGGTACGTGGAACATGCGAAGGGCTCGCCACAGTAGCCTATGGGGGACTGTCCCGTAGGCGTTGGCTAAGTCCAACCAAATCACGTGCAATTGAGTTCTCTCATGCTTGGCTCTCTGGATAGCCTCCCAAATCATGGTCGCGTGTTCAAGGCACCCAGGAACGCCCGGAATACCACCCTTCTGAACACTCGTATCTATGTACTTGTTAGCCATCAGATACTGTGTGAGCCGGCGAGCCATGACCGAGAAGAATATCTTACCCTCGACATTCAACAGCGAGATGGGCCTGAATTGGGAAAGACTCTTCGAGTCCTGCTCTTTGGGAATGTAGATCCCATTTGCCTTTGACCACTCTGGACATATGTGTTTACGGATCCACGCTTGTTTCAACAAGACGTGAAGCATTTTTAGGATTTTCGGGCAACGATTGTAAAGAACATACGGAACACCGTTCGGACCTGGGGCAGACTTGCCGCTGGCCTTTTTCACAACTTCCTCAACCTCAGACCAAAGGGGAGGTATCATTTTAAATGGTACCTTCGGCACCGAAGGCTGTTTGAGGCCGCTAAGGATCTCTGGATTGTCATCGAGAGGCTCTCTCCTCTTTTTGTCAGAGTACATCTTGCGTAGATGTAACTCAAGTTCTTCCTGACTGACAACCAGAGTCCCAGACTTCGGTTGCTCGAATAGACCTCGGGCAAACTGATACGGGTCCCTAAAGAATTTCTCTCGCTCCCTTTTGGTTCTAAGTCTGTTGTTACAGAAACGCTCGGCGCGACAGAGGGCACTGTGTTTGTTCTTTAAATGCAACCAAACTTCATACAGCCCCTCCCGTTCGCTGCCTGTAGAGGCTTTGAACCGTTTTCTGAGGGCATCCTTGTCTGCCCGACACTTCAGAATGTCCCTCTGCCTCCTGCTAGTATTCTGCTTGGCACCCGGCTGTGCCTTTTCTACTGTCCCGAACTCACGGGAGCAGTGTTCATATGTTACATCACCAAATTTTGTAAGCTTGTCGCCTAACGACTTCTTGTTTAAATCATGTTTACATAATGTAGCCTCCAACTTACACCACACCACCTCATCGATCGCAGGTGGAAACCTGATCTTTGAACGCACTTCCTCAGAAATCATCAAAAGTGCTCCTCCACAGTCGACGTCATGGGCCTCTCCGGGCGAGTGGGGTTCACCCAGCCCGTCGTTCCCTGACGACTCAGAAACTACCACAGGAGTAGTAGTTTTGCGACGGCGTTTGCTGCGTGGAGCACCCTCGCATTTCATTCTTCCGGCATGCGTTCTCAGACCATGCAACCCCGTGAAGCTCTTTCCACATGTACAGAGCCAGCCCGGACGTTGGGCGAGTATCTAAGTCCGGGGGCTAGCATTGTCGTCACCGAGAGTATCAATTTGATTGGGCCCTTCATTCTCCCCCCTTTCGGAGGGCCCTGGGGGCATATTTCTATGTGGTTGTACGAAATCGGAGGTATTATACTGTGTTAGGGGTGATCAACCCGGTCCACAGTCGACATCTGTCTCCAGATGTCAGTTTATCCCCCCGGCGATACCGGGGGGCCAGTCTTTCCATAGGTGTCACAAGGTCTTTCCCGAGAGTCACCAGTCTTTCCTGGTAGTCTTGTGGGCTAGCCACGTACAATAGGAATAAACTCACAGGGAGCAAGTACAACAGGGATCTACCAGTCGTCAGTAGAAATTATCCTCGTCAACGAGCGTTTCGGCCCACTATTCCTAGACGCTTTCGGAGGTGGGCCCACCTGAGTTCATGAAGCTCAGGGCTGGTTCCCTGCTGCACGAAATTACCGGATGGTGTTTTTCTTTCGGCCAGAGACAAGACGACTTGGTGGTTTGCAGAAGGTACTGTGAGATAAGAAGTCGCCGCGGCAGCCTAATTAAAGCAGTCAGCGTGCCTGGACGACCGAGCGACGAGCTTACGATTGGTTTACCGGACACATGTTGGACTTTTGTTAGCAGGTTGCAGAGGAACACTGGCAGACAATTCAGACACGATGGACTTACAAGGGGTGGGAAACCCTTTTCCACTAGACACTTGGACCAGCTCACTGAGGCCCGTCCCCTACGTTGTTGCGTTGCGCCCAAAGCCAGCTAGAGGCCCTTTCGGCTACCTCTCCCAGTTTTTTAAGTGTTCGTTTCCGTTCATTACCGCGCAATCCTAGTTCTTTAACCACATTGTAGAGCGAAGTGGAAACGAGGCCTCTCGCTCCCACTTCGACGGCAAAGACCCGTAACGTGTACGCCTCGTTTCTCCTCAGACCGGCTGCTAAATCACTGTATTTCTCGAGCTTATACATGTGATTCTCCTCCATACGCGACATACGGGACGGTCAACTCAATCAGGATGAGCTGCCGTTTTTGCGCAGAGTGGAGGACTATGTCCGGTCGCAGGCCGGTCTTCCGAATTAACTCGGGGTACCGTTCATGGCCCGGCAGATCAACCGCAGAAAATTGAAATATTTTGGTCACTTGAAACCTCACAAAAGTTTAGAAAGAACAAAAGTGGAGGCGTATATACCTGGGAAGAGAGAAAGAGGAAGGCCAGAAAGAAGATGGGTGCATGATGTAGAGGATGATCTCCAGATGTGTGCATCAGACGTAGGACATCCTGCTTGTGAACCGGAGGGTTGTTACGGGAACAAGGTTCTGCAAAGGACATGCTTCTGATTTACAAGATGTTTGATTAATCGATTTAAAAAAAAATACATGATCGCTGAGTCGTTTTAGGTTTATGGAGGTATTGAGGAAGAAATCTAATCACTTGGAATTTGTATGAGAGATTATGACACATAATAGTCGTCAATAATCAATTAGTAATCTTTTTATGGTCGAATAAAAATGCACGCCCTATATTGAACTCTTTCAATACAAACTGTGTAGAGGCGATATGGGCCTGCTTCTATTAAAATTGATTAATATCACGGAAGTCTCAGTGTCTCTGAGAAGGAAGAAGAAAAAAATCAAGTACATTGCTGTTGACGTAGCAGTTTGATAGCTGCGACTAGCACTGAACGAAAGAGGATAAACAGACTGACACTGATGGCGAAACGTAAAACAAAACACAAACAAAACTGAATAAGCATAGTCATAAATCAATGGTAGACAACGCACGAAGTATACTTACACTATTAAATGTTTCTGTTGCCGGAAATAACCTGTAAACGTAATTCTCCCATTTATCTGTCGCTGATATTTTTTGTCACATACAACTTTACGCCAATGGGCAAAGATGTCTCCCGATGTCCCCTATAATTAATAATTTTTGTAACTAGTGATTAAAAATGCGAATGAACCAATAACTTTTGTCCACGAGTTAGATCTATTTATAGCCGGTTGACCTAAATCTGACGTAAACAGTACAAGCCCACCATTTTGTTTGCACGTCACTAAAAGTTTTTAGACAAGTCGGCGAAGGGAATAACCAGACAAACTGGAGGGCAAAATGAGATCCTTGCTCCTAACAGGGCTCAGCTTAGCTCTCACGGCTGCTGTTATTGGCAATGCATATTACCAGAAGCAGCAGTTCTACCCGTCTGTTGTGTACATCACGAAGTCAAACCCTTCCATGGCTGTAGGTATAGTTTTTTAGTCTAGGAAGAAGAAGGGAAATAAACAAAAGTGACAGTAGAGTTAGTACTTTTATTGATGTCAAACTGTTTAGTATAAAAAATACACATTAATTTATTGTCTGCCGTTAAACATTGCTTTATTTCTGTTATTTATATTGTAAAAATAAAAACAAGCGTAAATTTAAAAATTGCGTTGCCGCCCGTTTCACTTTCAGTAATAATTAAATTACTCATCACTGTTGAGCCTAGGTACTTTAGTCAAATTTTCAAAATGCTCTCTACATCAATAAAACCAGCACAGTTAGATAGCTGTAAACAATCTCTTTCCAACTGTACCTCATTTAGGCTTGTATGTCATTTCTGAGCTGAGATATGTAGGTTTTTGTGGAGATGAGATGTAGAAAGCAGCTGCTAAAACTTGCCTCCCAGAAACAAGAGGTTTTCTTTGCACAACCAAACTGCGCAACTTTCGTTTTGGCTTTGTTTACATTGGACAAGATGGCAGCCAATGAGACACTGCCACTGGCTGAGCCAGCGATTGCCTGAAAAATGTCACCGTACATCTACCTAGCCACGGTTCAGAAAGAAATTTTATACACAAATGTAAAAATGACGGAGCATTCAATTATAACTAGCATTACCAGGGCCAGTAACAGTTAAAGCCTAAAGCCAACCTTGAATACTTAGCGCTATTTTCAATCAAACTGATGTAACAGAAAAACAGGACGTCCGGCTGTCGTAGACATGCGCTGTTAATCGGGTTCTTTCCCGCTGTTTTCAGCTATTTAGAGTGGGTGAAAATCACACCAATCGCAAAATTTCATCCCATCCCGAAACCCCAGCCGACATTTCCGAACGGTTTCCGTGGTAACGGAAATTGCCAAAAGATCACAAATTTCCGGACACCGTAGTCGCTAGTTGAGCCTCAGATCTAGAAGATAGATTTAGGCAAGACCCGCTAACGATAAAAAAAGTCTTCAATAAGTAAAGTCAAGTGTCAGATTACAGGACCGTTTTAATGTTATACACCACATATATGACATATGATATCTCTAACATGCTTCTCGGAAGCTCAGCTCCTAATCTAGCAGTCTGCAGTCATTTCATCTTGGTCCATGGTATCCTGCCCCCATGAATCCCCCTGAGTACCTGTATCATTCATGTCCTGTGTGTATACCTTTATATTGCATAAGGAGCTCTTGTTTGAAAGCTGTCCATGCTGCATCCTGCAGAATTGCATGCACTGAACATGATCAAACATAGTCTTGTGATAAGTAAAACGACCCTTTTCCACGCCTTCAGGTGTATTGAGAATATAATGCTGGACCTGTATTTTACAGCCAGTCAGCACTCAGGGGATGGGTGATGTGGTTAACATCATGTTGGCCACCTTTACTTCCCAGCACTTTATCTGGAACCCTTTTAAGGCCAGTCAACATGTAAGCCAGGGTCATTTGTTTCTTCTTCTTCTGCGTTCGACATCAGTCATGCTAAACATTGAGTCCCATCTGGGTCACAAATAGGATTGTGCGTTTAAGGCCTCCACCGGTCCCCCATAGCTTCTCTTGCATTGTGGCTCCCTTTGGCCAGATCCAGTCTTTGCTGGGAGAGGTTAGGGCAGTACTGTAGTATGTGCTCAGGGGTCTGTCTTTCTGCTCCACAATCACAGGCAGCAGATTTTTTTATGCCTATCCTGTACAAGTGTGCTCGAAGACCACAGTATCAAGTCCGAAGTCTAAAAATTGATGTTTGTTCTTTCCTGTTGAGTTTGTTTATGCAGTCACTTTCTGGCCTTTAATCTCCATTCTGCCTTCTCCACTCCCGCTTGAAAGACTGCTTTAGCGCTGTTTTGGTTTCCTTGTAGCTGTGTGGTGGATGAGGTTGTGGAAGATTACTCCCAGCTTTTGCCAACTCATCTGCTCTCTCATTTCCTTGAATACCACAGTGGGCTGGTATCCACTGCAAGACCAGTTCTGCTTCCTTGGAGAGTAAGCCAATGTTGGTCCTTAGATCTGCAATTAATTTGTCTTGTTTTTTGCTGGATAGTGCTTGGAGAACAGACAATGAGTCACTAAGTATAGCAATTTGGTGCCCTCTGTGTTCTTGAGTGATGAGATGTTGGACTGCAGAGAGGAGGGCAGTTGCCTCAGCTCTGAAGTTAGTGCAGATGTCACCTGCTGGTAGAGAGAGAGTTTCTGCTCTACTGCTAGGGGGTTTAATGTAAATTCCACAACTCCCCTTTCTGACTGCATTTATAGCAGAGCCGTCGGTGAAAACCTGAGTCCAAGTGGTGTTTGGATACTTCTCATAGCAAGAGCCAGAGTTCTCTGTTGTGTCTCCGTCTGGGCATCTTTTGAAGTGATTCCTGGTACCTTTAGGACTACATTTGTTTTCTCTGGCTTGCTTGTCCATGGTTCTGGCCTAAGTTTTTCGCACAGTGTAACATCTCTTTCAAGCAGATCTCGGTGCTGTCTGTACAGTTTTCTAGCAAGGTGGTTGGGGCTCTGGCGCTTCAGTCTGTTTTTTGTTCTCTCTTGAAATTTAAAATGCAGTGGGTGACTTTGAAGTCTTTTTAATTTCTCATACTGTAAAAGAGTTTTGTATTGTCTTCTGAGTTCGAGTAGTTCTGTATCTGCTATCCTTCCTATCTCTCTGATGGGGGTGGTTTTCATGGCTCCGAGAACAATCCTTAACCCATATTCTGAACCTTGTCCAGTTTTCCCATTGTTGTCTTGGCTGCTGCAGCCCATGCAGTGGAGGCATATTCCATGACTGGCCTGACTGCTCCAGTATATACTTGTTTTAGGATTCTAGAGTTAGCGCCCCATGTGGTACCCGCTAATTTTTTCATCACTGCAAGCTTCTTGAATGCTTTCCCCTGTACTGCTTTTACATGTGACTTTCAAGTTAGTCGCGAATCAAGTGTAATGCCCAGAAAGGTAGGAGTGTAATGAGCTGGTTTTTTATCCAAATTTCTTTTGTTTCTTTTTTGAGGGAGAGAGAGAAAAGTGATGCTGTGCTTTTTGAATTATTTAGCTTGACCCCACTTTTCGGTCCAGGCTTCTACATTTTCCACAGTTTTCTGTAACAGATATGAGGCACTGCCCTGGGGAACTCCTTCTCTTAGTTTTGCCAGTTTGCTGATGTGTCCATCAATTGTGAATCTGGCTCTGCGTTGGAAAAGAAAGTCTTTGATCCACTTGTACATGTTGTGCACAACTCCTGCCTGTAGCATTTTTAGTTGTAGGCCTTCTTTCCAAACTGTATCAAAAGCACGAGAGAGGTCAAAGAAGACAGCAAGAACTTTCTTCTTTTCCTGGAAGGCATTCTCAATTTCCTGTGTCAGATATGTCAACTGGACCTCTGTGTTTCTGTGCTGTCTGTATCCTGTCTGCGTCGTGGTGATTACCGAGTTTGTCTCCAAGAACCATATTAGTCTTTTATTTACTAATTTCTCCATCAATTTTCCTACACAACTAAGAAGGCTAATGGGTCTGTAGCTTTTTGAGTCTCTTCTGTCTCCACCTTTTTTAAGGATAGGCCGGATGAGGGCTTCCTTCCAGACTAACGGTACTACCCCTTTTTGCCAGCTCTGGTTGTAAATGCAGAGGTGAAACTTCTTGGCAGCAGGTCCAAGATGAGAGAGAAATTCGTTCGTAATGCCGTCAGCCCCTGGGGCTTTCTTCATTTTCAACTCTCCAATTCCAACTTCCAGCTCTTGCATAGTAAACTTTTCTGACATGCAGGCCTCTTTTGTTTTTGTGCTAGAGTCTGCTAGAAGAGTCTTGGTCTGGTTTCGTACTTCTTTTATTCTTTGCATGGGAATATGAACCTCAGTTTCCTTCTGGTGTGTTTCAGCTAGCACATCTGCTGCTACCTTGCCAGTAACAGCTCCATCGTCTGTTTGGAGTACAATTCTGGCTTTTTCTGTCTTGTCTCCATTCAAGCTTTTTGTGAGATTCCACAGACGTGAAGTGTCCTTCTTGAGGTTAAATGACGCTGTCTTTTTGTGCCAGCTTTCACTCATCTGATTATTTCTCTCTTTGATGAAGGCTGCTTTTGCTCTGTTATGAAGTATTACATTTTTATCTGTCGGATCCTTCTCCATATTTTCCCTCCTGGTACTAAGTTTGGAATGCAGAGTGTCCAGTTCAGGCGACCAGTAAGGTTTAAAGTTTTTCCTGCTGCCTCGTGGTATTTTACCCTAGACTGCATTTAGAATAGTTGTGTTGAGGATCTTCAGTTTGGCATTTATTTCCAGTCTTCTGAAGAAGACTCTCTTCAACATGTCGTCCAAATAGGAAGTGAAAAGGCTCCAGTTAGCCTTCTTGTAGTTCCAGCTGGGAGGGTTCTTTTCCTGAATAACTTCTCTACTTTTGTTAATAGAAAGGATTACGGGCCTGTGATCACTGCCTCCCGGCTGGTAACTTTCTCCACATCTTCAGTTGCTATAGCCAAGTCTGGGGTGCTAGTTTTCCTTCAAGCTCGAGAGTAGAATGTGTCTGGGTCGTCACGATGATTTATCAGAACTAGAATGTTGCTGATTATCCAGTTTTCTACCTCTTCTCCTTTCGCATTGGGGTCTGTGTAGCCCCAGCTAGGTGAGTGGCTATTTAGATCTCCGACAGCAATCCAGTTTTCTGTGTTTAGTAGGATGGGTCCCAGATTAATATCTCTGTTTGGTGGTGAGTAGATGTTGCATACTGTCACATCTCCCCTTGCACCCTTGATAGTGACTGTAATAAACTCTGTATCCCCACACTGAGATCTCTGGGTTTCCCAAGCTGTGATCGTGTTCTTGACAGCAGTCAAGACTCCTCCTTTTGGACGATCTAACCTGTCGTGTCGGAAGATTTGGTATCCCCTGATAGAGAATCTATGTACACTTGTTAGGTGAGTCTCTTGGATGCAGCATATGTCAATATCGTGCTGCTTCAAGAAATTTTGTAGTTCAGTTTTCTTCAGCCTCACTCCCTCAGCATTCCGGTGCATAATTGTCAGTTTGTGTCCAGTTGCATTACTCTGTTCTTCCCTGGTCACTCCAGAAGATTCAGAGGTTGTGGCTCTAGTAGCTTGGGGTGGGCCCCTTCGAGGCAGGGGGCCAGGCGCCATCCCTTCCCGTCTACGTCCCATAGGAATGACATCTTTCGACTTCGACGGTTGAGGTTTATTTTCAGGATTCCCCCTCCGATAGGCTGATTGATTTCCAGGGCTTATGAGATCTGCCTACCCACATTTTCTGTCAGGCTTTGTTGCCCTAGCCTTTGTTCTTACAGGAACTTCCCACAAGGCAGTGGTGGTTTGGCATTCGGTGTGCTCTTCACCTAGATGAATTGCCTTTCAGGGCTTTTGAGCTTTATCTGCCCAGGGTTTAATTAATACAAAAGGGAGGTTTTATTAACAGTCACCCCAGTTGAGTCTCGTGCTGGGGAAGGAACCAGGGACGCAACGTCCATCAGCCAGATGTCGCCCCCGTACAACCCGACTGCCTTCGTTAACGACTGTCCTCCCCGACAGCCATGCAGTTTATTGTCATGAAGGAAACGCCTTAAACTTGGGTTCTGGACTACCGACTCCCTACGTGCTGACACCTGTATGTTATTTGTGTTCAAAAATTATAATTTTTCTGCCATTTAACATTAACCCATGCATTTTTATGTATACATGCTTACAAACACTTGCACATACTAATAATAATTGTGACAACAAATAACAGTAATTAACAGTTTACAGGTACTCCCACATCAAGGTAGAGAGAGAGAAAGAGGCACATGTACACATACAAGAATATAGAGGGATAAAGAGGGGAAGGAGGATTGGGATTGTCTTATGCTGTAAGAGGGGGGGGCTAGCTGTCCCAATACTTTGTTTGCTTTACTGCATCTAATGTCAATTTCTTTATCCAATTTCCCATCTTCGGTAAATGTAGTTCCCAGATATTTAAACTCAGATGCCTGTTTAATGCCTTTGTTATCATTAATGTTTAGATCTGACTTCTTTTTTCCTATTGACATTACTTCTGTCTTTTCAGTGTTGATTCTCATATTATTTGTTTTACATTCTTCATTCATAGATGTTAGATGTTGTTGCAATTTCAGGCTGTATCTGCTATCAAGGCCTGGTCATCTGCAAAGAGTAATTCGTTGATCTTACTAAGATCTTCATTCATGTATTCTTGCATATACTGTCGATGTAGGTGATAAACAGCAGTGGTGATAAGACACACCCCTGTCTTCCCGATGTCCTGTGAAAGGATGAGATGTTCCCTGATTTATTCTAACTACACTTCTACAATCCCTATATAAACTTTTGCACACTTCGATGAGGTGTTCGCTTACTCCATATCTTGCCATTATTTTCCATAATAATTGTCTGTCGACTCTGTCATATGCCTTCCGAACGAATGCCACAAATAAGTTCTTATTGTATTCAATGTTCTTTTCTATTAACTGTTTAAGTGTGAAGATTGCATCTGTGCAGCTTCTATTTCTCCTAAATCCCATCTGTTCTTCTGCCAGCTGTGGTCCTATCACTGGTCTCAGTCTTGTTTCTATACTGTAATCCAGGTAATTGGTGTAGGGCAGGGCATCAAACTATCAAGTGTTTTCCCTTGAGGGCCCGAAACAGATGTTGTCTCGTGCCGAAAAATAAAGGTGAAAATCCGAACGGCGTTAATTCGTTGAAGTTGATTGCACTTTGGCTAGTCTCCTATCCTAGAGGATGTTCTGTGTCCGGCTCCTAGTGGGTCCAGAAAATAAAATCGTTCATCTGATGGCCTAGTAAAATGTCTTTCGATCAGTTTCAAGTTACACGATAACCTTGTTACTGGCTTTCTGTGATGTTGACGACTTTGTGCCCGCTTCAAAATTTTGCTGTTAACTGACCATAGATGGTTGTCGCTGGGTGGGGCCGTGTGAAGTGAATGCAGCAAGTGAAATAGGTGCCGAGAGACTAAAGTGTTCTCAGTCGGGTACGCCCAGGGCTCCATGGATAATATTCTGTTGACTCCTTCATTGTGTGTGTGTGTGGGGGGGGGGGGGGATTTAAACGTGTTCGCTAATTTCGCTAGACTCGATGTGAAGATGTTCATCTCCCTTTATTTATTTAGTAAAAAGGGTCCATAAACTGCTCTACTGTAGGGGTTTTTTTTTTCACTGGTAGTTAACACACGTTATATATTTATTATTTTACTGCCGCAACCCCCTGGGTCAGAAAGAGTTAACGGGGTCAGCACATTTTTCTCCACGGAGCAGGTAGAAGGGGTGTTTGCTGCTGGATGAAAAATAATGCGACTGAAATGTCCAATTTTTATACTACCGTGGAATGTGCCTTTTTGTCTCAGCTTGTTCCGTTCTCCCTTTTTATCGTCAATAAATGAAAGCGTACGTGCTTATCATCCTATGATGTATAGGTTCTGTTTGTGACTACTGTGAAATGTCCGGATTGATCCAAAATCTTCCAAATCAGCTCAGAGAGCAGTGGTTTCAAAAATCTTCCAAATCAGCTCAGAGAGCAGTGGTTTCCAAAATCTTCCAAATCAGCTCAGAGAGCAGTGGTTTCCAAAATCTTCCAAATCAGCTCAGAGAGCAGTGGTTTCTAATATCTTCCAAATCAGCTCAGAGAGCAGTGGTGATTCAGTTTCTTTCATGTGAATAATTTTGACAATAGACTTTCACTGAAGAAAACAAGCAGCATACCGTAACAAATGCTTTTGCACAGAGAGAATTTGACCGTACAATAGATTTCGTCAAGGTTACTGGCCTCCTGTTATAATTTTTCTGACAGAAAACTCAAAGCAGTAATACATCATTTTTTAGAACAACTTTTTAAAAAATATCGGCTATCTTCCGAACAACGGTCATAAATTATTGAGGCAGAAAATATACCCTAAAAGGGCCTCAGTCACATGTAAATTGAGACTTCATGTGACTTAAATTGCGCACTTCCGGCGACTACTGCCACCACCGAGAGTATCTCCCACGCCGCTACACGCGGCGTGGAGTGGGGCTAAACTAGATGGCTGGGACTCACGAGCAGCAGCTACCCCATCTCCTGCAGCTTCCTCCATTTAATTTGCTCGTGAGTCCCAGCAATCTAGTTTAGCTCCACTACACGCCCCGTGTAGCGGCGTGGGAGATACTCTCGGTGGTGGCGGAAGTCGGCAATTTACATGTGACTGAGGCCCAGTTAGGGTATATTTTCGGCATCGATAATTTGGGACCGTTATTCGAAAGATAGTGCTGAGAGCCAGATATAATTTATGGGCCATATTAGTGAAGAATTGTATTGGGGAGATTATGTTCTTCAGCATTCTGGTTTGCATGATGCTGACCACATCACCCACAAAGTATGATTGGTCTATAAAATGTATGTCTAGCCCTGTGTGCCCAATACGCCTGAAGGCATGAAAAGGGTCCTTTACTTTACTTCAGTATTTGAGCCCTTGAGATTCATTGTCTCAGAAATCACCCACCTCCATTCATCTTGTGATTGGCCTTCTCTTTCCAGTTGGTGACTCCAAGTATTTGTAGGTCTGTCTGTATATTGTCTTTCCACCGCCATTTTAAAATATTGTTTCATTTTTTAAAATTACTGGGTGAGAGAAGCAAAGGAAGTCAGAAGGATGTTTGTGGAAAGCTTAAGCAGATTTGCAACAAATATAAGCACTATCAACTTAATTAAAATGTCAGGTGACAGAAAGAATTTAAGCGTCATTATCACTGATATTCACTCCAGACACACTAGCCTTTGCTTTTTTTTTTCATATATTGTGTACTGAAGTTTGGACTTCATTTTCTGTTATATTGATAAAATAAAGTTCCCAAGTAAGTATTCTAGAATATTCCATTTACACATATACCCAGAACCTGTTTCTATAGAAGCCCAGAAAAGAAGACCACTTCACCAGAAAAGAAACCCCAGATTATTTTCAAAACACTACTAAAACCCCCTCCTTTTTATCAACACAACTTTGCTGCTCTAGAATATCCCATTGACACCTCTGCATCCTCCATTTTGGCCTAGATTCCCATTTTGAAAGTGAATGCTGTAGTGTGTTTTAGATGTGACGTAATCTTTCAGGATATTATCACAATAAACATGTAGCTCTTTCTCTGCAATTTAGTTAATGTCAGTGTTAGCAAAAGATATTTAATGACATACATTCATAACACAAGTAGATTGATATCATAGACATCTTCGTGAAGCTCTGAAATTAGTTTCTATTTCAACAGTTCTCAACACAATAACGTACACATCCACTTCCACACATTTAGTTGCCCTGGTTTTTTTGGATGCTTGTTAACATAGGTAGCAATTTATTTTTTCAGTCTTTTAAAAACTGAAGGAAAATAAGTGTTTGATGAATCAAGATGGAGAGAAAAGAATAAAAGAAACATAAAAATATAATACATATAAAAAACTAAGATTATTATACTTGTGTTTGAACTAACATGGCTGTTTTGTCTCTCCAACCGTTTAGGTGATGTACGTACAGGCTCTAGTGTTTGTGGTTTTGGTGGGTAAAATGTTGCGAGCAATATTCTTTGGCCAGCTGAGGGCTGCTGAGATGGAGGTTTGTTGCTGTTTTATAGCTGTTCATTTAGTTACTAGTACAAGAGCAAAGAATCCATAAGTTATTGCCTAAATGTTTCAATCCCAGAAAAACTATATGTACCTTGTGTATTGTCCACAACATTATTTCAAGCTAGTAATTATATTTATTGATGTGACTGCGTTTGTTTAACTTATCAGACACAAATATAGTTTGCTTGTACTGACTTTTCTTGTTTTCAGCATCTCATTGAGCGATCCTGGTATGCAGTCACAGAAACATGCCTTGCCTTTACAGTGTTCAGAGATGACTTTAGTCCCCGTTTTGTTGCGCTGTTTACACTTCTTTTGTTTCTCAAGTGTTTCCATTGGTTGGCCGAGGATAGAATTGATTATGTAAGTAGTGTTTTTATCTATATTTTATTGTTTGCAGCTAATAATTATAGTCTTCTTCTTCTTTCCTCCCTCTTTTACCACTTCAGGTGTCGACGGAGTTTGAGGTTCTCCTTCTTGCTCTTCTGACCACCTCAGCCATAGACACAATTTACTGTTGTAGTAGAGTTTTTCTGATGTTATCTTTCCATATTGTTCTTGGTTTACCTCGTGCTATACTCCTCTTTTGGTGTATACCTTGTATTTTGAGGTAATATTTGAAGAAATATTTATTCTTTTTTTTTTTTCCCAAATCACAGGGTGAGAGAAGCAAAGGAAGACAGAAAGATGTACATGGAAAGCCTTAAGCATCTGTGTAGCAAATATAAACACTAACTAAATTAAAATCTCAGGCAGCAGAAGGGATTTAAGCATCATTATCACATGTGCATCATTATCACATATGCATCATTATCACATGTGCATCATTATCACATATGCATCATTATCACATGTGCATCATTATCACATATGCATCATTATCACATGTGTTTACTCCAGACACGCTAGCAAATACTTTCTTGCACATATTGTATGCTGTATTTTGAACTTCAACTTCTGTAATGTTCATGATGAAATAATTTTAAGCTACCGAATAGGTTTCCTGGAATCTTCCATATACACATATACATATACCCAGAACCTGTTTCCTTAGGAGCCCTCCAAAGAAGATCATTCATCATCAGAAAAGTATCCTCATTGTTCATTTCAGGATCGTCTATTTGCAACGTCGGACATACCGATAAGTGCTCATGTCTCCTAAATATTTTTCTTTTTGTGTTTATGCTGACGACTCCTGTTCTGTGTTGGTTGATGTAGCCACTGTAAAGTTTTGCATGGTTTTCACGTCGTGCTGCTCTAATTAGTATAGCTAGACCTTGCAGTCGATGCAAGAGAAATGATTATCTTCACCTTTGAGATCTTCAGCATGTGCTGCCTTATGAATGATACTAATATCTTCGCATGGATCCATCAGGCAGGGCATGTGATGATGCTAGAAGAGAACCCAGTAAAATCTGATCTGGATATACATGTGAAAGTCTTATCCAAGCTGTCCTCTATGTTAACATTTGTATCAGGGATATACATGTGGAAGTCTTATCCAAGCTGCCCTCTATGTTAACATTTGTATCAGGGATATACATGTGGAAGTCTTATCCAAGCTGCCCTTTATGTTAACATTTGTATCAGGGATATAAATGTGGAAGTCTTATCCAAGCTGTCCTCTATGTTAACATTTGTATCAGGAATATACATGTGGAAGTCTTATCCAAGCTGCCCTCTATGTTAACATTTGTAGAAGAGAACCCAGTAAAATCTTATCTGGATATACATGTGGAAGTCTTATCCAAGCTGCCCTCTATGTTAACATTTGTATCAGGGATATACATGTGGAAGTCTTATCCAAGCTGCCCTCTGTGTTAATATTTGTATCAGGGATATACATGTGGAAGTCTTATCCAAGCTGTCCTCTATGTTAACATTTGTATCAGGGATATACATGTGGAAGTCTTATTCATGCTGCCCTCTATGTTAACATTTGTATCAGGAATATACATGTGGAAGTCTTATCCAAGCTGCCCTCTATGTTAACATTTGTATTAGGGATATACATGTGGAAGTCTCATCCAAGCTGCCCTCTGTGTTAATATTTGTGTCAGGGATATACATGTGGAAGTCTTATCCAAGCTGTCCTCTATGTTAACATTTGTATCAGGGATATACATGTGAAAGTCTTATCCAAGCTGTCCTCTATGTTAACATTTGTATCAGGGATATACATGTGGAAGTCTTATCCATGCTGCCCTCTGTGTTAACATTTGTATCAGGGATATACATGTGGAAGTCTTATCCAAGCTGCCCTCTATGTTAACATTTGTATCAGGAATATACATGTGGAAGTCTTATCCATGCTGCCCTCTATGTTAACATTTGTATCAGGGATATACATGTGGAAGTCTTATCCATGCTGCCCTCTATGTTAACATTTGTATCAGGGATATACATGTGGAAGTCTTATCCATGCTGCCCTCTATGTTAACATTTGTATCAGTTTCTTTATTATGAGTATTTGTAAAGTGTAAACTACTTCAGATGTGCTTTGTGTCTTTGTTACAGATGGAGAGAAGTCCTGCCATTTCTTGGTTGTTTCATATTCGAGCATTATGTAAGTATTTTCATGAAGATTAGTCAAAACACTGTGTTTTTCTTTTGGACTGCTGCTCAAAGGTTTGAGGTTTTCAATTCAAGGGACCATCTGGATTATAAACCAAAAATGCACGTCATAAATTCAGCCTCCTAAGAAGTTACAGTTAGGGTACATAAGGTACATAACAGATATTGAGTTGTATGAATAATACAATAATAAAGTGACTGAAGCTCAAAACAAACAATATTTGATACATATAATTTGAGCAGGGGGAGAATATATATAATTTAGGCAGGGGGAGAATACATATAATTTGGGCAGGGAGAGAATATATATAATTTAGGCAGGGGGAGAATAACATGACAAAATACACATTATATATTGAGAAAAGTGAAGACAGCAACAAACATGGCAATGGAGACGGTTAATATTTGTTATTCTACTTAAATATTGATGAAAATGGTAGAATTAAGGAAGGAAGATGATAGATGAAATTTATACATAAATTTATACATAGAATTATAATGAGAAGAATGAAAATTAGTGAAGAGCAGTATGGATTTATGGAAGGTAAAGGGACAAGTAATGCAATATACATATTAAAAACTGATAGAAAGATCAGTGGACACACATAAGGACTTATATTTGTGCTTTATAGATTATACCAAAGCATTTGACAAAATTAAACATGAGAAGATGATAAAAATATTGGAAGACATCAATGTAGGTGGGAAAGATCTCAGAATAATTAAAAACATTTACTGGAACCAAGTAGCAGCAATTATTATACTGGGAAACAGATTGTGTACTTTTGAACAGATAAAGCAAGGAGTAAGACAGATGTGTCTTATCCCCAGACCTTTTCTCTCTATATAGTGAAGTAATTCTGAGGGAAATAAAAGAAAAAGCAGGAATAAAAGTGGGAGGATACAATATAAACAATTTGCGTTGTGCAGACGATACAGTTGTGATTGCTGAAAACGCAACTGATTTACAACAACTATGGATATTGTGAGGATGGAGAGTGCTAAGAAAGGACTTTCCTTGAATATTAAGAAAACGGAAGTAATGGTTATATCAAGGAAGAAGATGACTCCACGTTGTGATATCTCAGTTGAAAGAAAAAAGGCTTGACCAAGTCAATCAATTCAAATATCTAGGAACAATCATATCATCAGATGGAAAACGTGTGACAGAGATTAAAAGCAGAATAGGTCAAGCAAAGGCATTTCAGAAAATGAAAAATATGCAATAAGTCGCTTTTATTTAATGTCAGAAAGAGAGTGCTAAAATGATACCTAGAACCTGTTCTGCTGTATGGCAATGAATCTTGGAATGTCAGAACAAATTAAGAAGAACTTGGAAGCAAAAGAGATGTGGTTTCTGAGACGAATGTTACGTATACCTTGGATGGCCAGAGTAACTAACAAGGATTGTTTGAAAGAATCTAATGAAAGTATATCTCTGTGTACACCAATAAGAAGGAGACAAACACTGTTCTTTGGCTACGTAATGTGAAGAGAAGCATTGGAAAACATCGTGACAACTGGAAAGATCAGTGGAAAGAGGGTTAGAGGCAGACCAGGAGAGATGATGCTGAATGGGCTAAAACGAAGACAGGGGGGAATATCATCAAGAGAGCTGTTCCAGGCAATCAGGGATCGTGATCTGTGGAGATGTATGAGCACCTACGCCAGTTGGCAGGGATGCATGAGGCGTTTTAACTCCTGAAGAAACAATAATTGTTAAGCTTAGTCCTAGCCAGCCCATTTGCACTGTGTTGAATCATGCTCTGGTTATATCTGAGTATGGATTCCAGCATATGGCAGGTTGCAGTCCTTTTCTTGTCTACTCTGCTGGTTTCTGAGCATAGAGAGAAGGGAAGGAGGGCTATGTGACACAGTCCCCATAAAGATAGGGCTTCACTAACTTGTGGAGAGGAAATCTCTGCACCAACCTCACTCTAGTGGACACAAGCAAACTTTGAAGCAGCATGTCTTTCTTTGATTATTATGTCTGTATAATCTGTTCTCTTTTTATTACTTCTTCAGCTCTGATGTTTGTCCTTGGTTTGTTGGATATCTTGTTTGTGAAGCATGCGTTTGAGTCAACTATGACAAAAGGCCCATCTGTTCAGCTGGTGTTTGGCTTTGAGGTAACCTTTACTTAAAGTTTTGATTAGGTTGATTGATAGCAGTTTTATTGAACGATAAGGTTAAGTACTAGTAATGCATACTATAGGCAGGACAAGTATGTGCTGCAGACAGAGCAGAGCTGTTGTTCTTGTCGTTATCTGGTGTGAAGCATTATCAGTGTTACTTAGCTTTTAGCTATAATTTGTGGCTGTCAGCTTCAATGTCTAATTTGCTGTGTGGGTTCTGAGATCCATTAGAGGGATGGGGGAACCCACTGCCCCCTTAAAACTTGTCGAAATGTTGACTCATTAAGGGTATTTCCATGAAAGTCAGAGTGCATTTGCCAGAGAGGCTAGGAACCAATAACCTGCATACAAATAAGCCAGATCTGTAAAATGTATGTGCACACAAACTCAAGTTCTGGATCAAGATAAATCCAGGAGTCTTATGAAACTAAAACCTTCTAACTAAGCCTTTGTGCCACCAGTCAATAATACTCTTTGCTGTAGAACTCGAGGAAGCCCAAGTATGCACTTGATAGATTACACCAAGAGGAGAGACTATACACACCTAATACTGTCTAGGCAGCATGTATGGTGTCAGACCGAAAGCTTTCTCCCTCTGTGATTAATGACTTATGTTGACCACAGACTGTTATCCATGTCTGGATAAAATAATAGAAATCAATGATAATGTGAAGGTATTATCACAGCAGTTACTGCCATCGGATGTGAAGTGTTAGAATTAACATATTCTAGGCAATTTAAAATGGGGTTAATGAGCTTCCTGGAGTTGTAGCTACATTACAAACCTCATGAGATCTCTTAATGTTTGAATCAATGACTGTAACAAGGACAACATATCAAAGTCAGCAATAGACTGTCATCTGTCAGAACACACTTCCTGATGTGTAATTGTTCTGCTGCTCCAAGATGCTTGCTGTCTATTGTCTATGCTCCGTCTAGGGTTGGAAAACAGGCTCTTGACTCATTGCCGAACATCAGCAATAATACATTTCTACTTGGCAGTATGAGATCTTGTTTACTGTGGTGCTGATGACATTCATCAAGTATGTGCTGCACACGATAGACTTACGAAGTCAGAACCCATGGGATAACAAAGCTGTGTATCTCCTCTACTCAGAACTGGTTATGGGTGTGTATCTAAGTTTTGTTACAAGCAATCTTCATGTAAAAATTTCTGTGACATTTTTATTCATTATGCATTTGAAGTATGATGTTTTTAATCAAACCTGAAAAATGGACTCTCACAGATTTTACATTTTACATGGGTGCTCGGTTTAGATTATGTATCACTCCTTTATTGAACTAGAAGACTTTGGCCCTCTATGATGACAAAGGTGCCACAATACTGCCTGTCAACACCCAGTCTAGTACCCAGGCTACCACTCATCTGCTTCTACAGACTCGGAGAAGTATCTAGGACATGAAAAGGATTCTTTGCTTCAGGCAAATTGGGCATATATGGCTAAACTTATAGACCACTTGCCACTTGTTGGTTGATGTGGTCAGCATCACACCGGCTGCCTTTACTTCCCTCATTACCCAAACCCATGACCTTCCGATCCATAGGTGAGCGTCTAGCCGCTTCATCGCGGTGGCTTCCAAAGATTAGTGCAGGGTCATGTATTTAATACCAGACTCAAGAGAAAATAGATGCAAATCTACTCACTGTTCTGGTATATTTTATGTTTAGTTTGAGTATTTATGTCAGAAATATGTGCATTCTTCAAAACCTTTTTGGGAATCTGGAGGCTAATATCTAACATACCAGAGGACAAAATATATTTTTATTGCAGTTGTATTGTTGTAGTAAACAGGATGGGACTGTTTCTGAATTGTTCACAGATTTGTAAGGTAAACTGAGAAATACTACAAACTACCAAGTTTATACTTACATTGATATTGAGAGAATGTTAGATGACAAAGAGGTAAAAACTATACAAAAGGGAGCTGAATAGCCATAACCATGAGGCAGACCAAGAAGATGATGGAGAGATAATGTCCAGACAGACCTGCAAACAGTTGGTGTCACCAGCAGGAAAGAGAAAGCCAACCAGAGAGATGAGTGGAGGTGTTTCATATCTTCAGTAATGAACTTCAGGGGTTCGGAATGCTGAAGAAAAAAAAGCTTGAATCGTTTTTCATTTATAAAAAAAAAACCTACAAGAGCTTATACTTGAACAATAACGACTATATCCATTTCACCTAGCATTATAAATGTGATTCTTGCAAAACATGTTTTATTTATTTTTTCTTGTTTGCTCATCTGACCAGGCTTGATTCGAGTGGTGTTGTATGTGGCCTTTGTGTTCATCATGATCAAAGTTCATACATTCCCATTGTTTGCAATTCGACCAATGTACCTTACAGTCAGGTTAGTGTGTGTACATTTAATCTCACTTAGCACATGTGTTTTGTAGTCTTGATTTTGTATTGGTATACAGGAGACAAGGCAAAGTGATCAAGCTCTTGCATTGAAGGATGTGGATTTGTTTCATATTTTATTAAGTACATAAGTGCAGTTTTTTTTCGAAGAACCCTGGGAATTGTCACTGGACCTACAGGGTTCATGCTTTGTGTAGCCTTTTTGGCAGTTGGCTTGCTTTACTGGGAAGAGAGACTGAACTATCTGAGATAAACAATGAAGAGGGTCCTCTCGACTTAAACGGTATAGTTATCTAAACATACCAGCAGAAGTGCATCTGCCTCTGGTCTGTAGTTACAGAAACCTGAACCTGCTGGTATAGCTTGTTCAGTTTTTAAACCATTTATACATTCTCTGCATATTCTTCTACATCTTTGATTGGCTTCTTGGTTGAATTATCTGATAAACTCTGATCCAGCTCTGGTGTGGATAAAGTAAGTGGATCTCTCCGTGTGTAATTGACTTCATAGCAAAGCTGCTTATAGATGATTTAGAGTAGATCCCTTTTTTAGTGGTTCTGACAGTTGGCAAGTTATCCCAGAGTCGAGGGTGTTGGCAAGTTATTCCAGAGTCGAGGGTGCAATGGTTTTACAGTTTGACTGGGACATTTTGAGATAGCATTTTGAGGTCAGCAAGGTTGACATTTGCATTCTGGATGAAATAAGTTCTCTTCAGTCGATCCCTCTTGCATTTTTTGCACATGGCCCTGCATGGATTATTCTTTCAAGGGGTGGTATTTGGGCACGTTAGTCTATTTAGTCACCTTTTGTTGTAATTATTTCATTCATTGCCATATAAATTAGCTACCATATTAACATATGTGTTGAGACAATATGAATTTGTTTTACATTCGCCAGTCAGCTTTAGTGTGTCAGTTTACACACGTTTGTTTTCTTTTCGTGTTTGAAGAAACTGATTTACAGCTGGTTTTAAATTCCAGCATTATTGTCCTTTACCGTGTAAGTGACCTTTGATGGCTACAGTTGAAGCTTCTTGTAAAGCATTGTGTAAAATACTGATCGATAACCTTTTCTCACATAATTTTTTTTTTCAGTGAACTCTTATTCACTCAAATATATATTTGTGTCTTTTTTGTTCATTAATTTTTATTTTACTTACGGTATACAGCATTATTTCCCCTTTCTTTAGTCATAATTGATAACTGTGTTTGTTCTGTTAATGTGGCTGATTTTACTTTTACAAGTTTTATACTCTGTAAAAAAAAAAAACATTAGCATTTTTGAGAGTAAAGTAATGAAATATAATGGTATATATTTCCTCAACAGGGCATTCCAGAAGACTGCTCAAGATGTTGTTCTGTCCAGGCGAGCTATTCGCAACATGAACACACTGTAAGTGCTTCTTGTTGTCTATTTTTTTCTTTATCAGTTTTATTTCTTTCAGTTCTAAGCTTGAAAAAAAAAAACCGTGTCATTTTTCAAAGCCATCTTGTTACTCTACTGAATTTCCTATACTTTTGGGCAAACTGTTAATTAATCTTCTTCATACAGTGTTGAGGCTTCTTATGTTGACATATATTTTGGGTTTGGTTATTTAATGAATAATGGTTGAAGAAGTGTTATACCAAGAAGAATAGTTTAAGCTATGTTATGTCATGTAGAATTGTTGTAGCCAAGATTATATCATATATGATAGTTGAAACAGATTATATCATGTAAATTAGTTGGAGATGTGTTATATCATATAGACTCCTTGGAGCTTTGTTATTTAATGTAGAATAATTGAAGCTGGGATATTTTTGTAGAAAAGTTGGAGCTGGGATTAAATCATGTAGACTAGATGGAGCTGTGTTATATCATGTAGACTAGTTGGAGCTGTGTCATATCATGTAGAATAGTTGGAGCTGTGTCATATCATATAGAATAGTTGGAGCTGTTTCATATCATGTAGACTAGTTGGAGCTGGGATTTTAACATGTATATCAATTCAAACAGTATTATATCATGTAGAATAGTTGGTGCTGAGTTTATTTATGATGATCATTGTTTGTTAACAGATATCCAGATGCCACACCGGAGGAGCTGAGTGCAGGAGACAATGTGTGCATCATTTGTAGAGAGGAAATGACTACCGGATGCAAAAGACTGCCATGTAACCACATTTTTCACACTAGCTGTCTACGATCATGGTTCCAGCGCCAGCAGTCTTGCCCGACCTGCAGACTGGAAGTCTTGCGGATGCCCAGACCAGCAGCAGCTGCAGCTCCACAACCCCAACCACAGCCGCAGCCAGCACCTCCTGACCAAGCGCCCAATCCACTTCAGAATAGTAAGTCAGTCAAGTGTTATCCTCACACACTTTGAAATTTCCACTTTGTTTAATTTCCATCTTTTTTCCTTCATGTTCACCAGCTGTAAACTCGGGCGGAAAGTTATGGTTGTTCATCCACTTCTGAACTTTAGAACTTAAGAGTTGTATGCACATCCATTTTATCTATACATCCCCATTTCAAGGGCTTGAGTAACTTAGTTGTTTGTTTATTGTCCATTCATCTCAACCAAGCAAGAGACTAAAACTGTGTATGAAGGTGTGCCAACTATTAATGGCTCAGAAATACCACATTGATGGAATTACAGTTTACACACTTACTCTCACTGACTGACTTTTTCTCTCTCACCTGCTCATTTACTCATTCTCTCACTAACTTATTTTTTTTTCTCTCCCTCACTCACCCACTCTTTCTTTCTCTCTCACTCACATACTCTCACTTACTCTCTCTCACTCTGTCACTCACTCACCCACTCATTTACTTTTTCTCACTCACTCAATCACCCTCTCATTTACTCTTTCTCTCTCACTCACTCACTCTCATCACTTACTCTTTCTCTCTCACTCACTCTTTCTTACTCACTCTTTATCTCTCACTCACTCTTTCTCTCTCACTCACTTTTTCTCTCTCATTCACTCACTCTTTTCTCTCACACTCGCTCTTTCTCTCTCACACTCACTCTTTCTTTTTCACTTGCTTACTCTTTCTCTCTAACCTACTCACTCACTCTGTCACTCACTCACCCACTCATTTACTTTTTCCTCACTCACTCGCTTACCCACATTTACTCTTTTTCTCTCTCTCACTCACTCACTCACTTTCTCTCTCCCTCTCATCACTAACTCTTTCTTACTCTTTATCTCTCATTCACTCTTTCTCACTCGCTCACTTACTCTTTCTCTCTCATTCACTCACTCTTTCTCTCTCTCACTCACTCTTGTTTTTTCACTCTCTCACTCTTTCTCTCTCACCCACTCACTCACATTTTCTCACTAACTTATCCTCTCTCACTTACTCTTTCTCTCTCGCTCACTCACCCACTTACTCTTTCTCTCTCATTCACTCACTCTTTGTCTCTCTCACTTACTCTTTCTCTTTCACTCACTTACTCTTTCTCACTCACTCACTCTTTCACTCTCACTTATTTATTCTGTCTCTCTCACTCACTCACTTACTCTTTCTCTCTCACTCACTCGTTCTCTCTTACTCACTCTTTATCTCTCACTCACCCATTCGCTTTTTCTCACTCACTCACTCACTTATTCTTTCTCTCTCACTCACTCTTTCTCTCTCACTCACTCTCTCTCACTCACTCACTCTCTTACTCACTTTCTCACTCACTCTCTCTCACTCACTCTCTCTCACTCACTTTCTCACTCACTCTCTCACTCACACTCTTGCTCACTTTCTCACTCACTTACTCCCTCACTCTTTCTTGTATGCAGTGTTGTTCCCTACTTACTGCTGCCCCAGGACCAGTGCTCATGTTAGTCAAGGGCTGTCTATAAGCCTTCACAGTCATCCTAGAACACATGTTTCCAACCATAAATGTCGGCATCAAAATTGGCATCTGGCTGAGAGGTGAGGAACCAACAGTCTGCACACAAATAAGCCAAGCTGTAAATTGGATGTACACACAGCACTCAAGTTCTGAAACAACAAAGTATAAAAGTGGACAAGCACCCAGAACTGTCTGCCAGAGTTTACAGTTGGTGACTGAAGAATAAGAACTCTCTCTTGTTCATGTTTGTATGAGAGAATTAGAGTCAGCTTTTTCTCTATCAGAGGATAATTAAAGTATTTGTTTGTGGTGCATTCCTTGGTACCCAGATAGAAACTTGCAGATTTGTGGTGTCTTGGCTGTGTTTAGGTTGTGATCTTGTGAACAATTACTGATTACCTGGCTAAACATTTCAGCACATTCTCATGACAATTGTATTTGCTGCCTTCATGAGACTATATCTTACTGTCATGGTTGTATGTTTTACTCTCATAGTTGTCACAGCAACTGCATGAATTGAGTTTGTTCTGGTTTTTTGTTTTGTTTTTAGTGCAAGGCATGTTTGGTGGTTTTCCTTTCCAGTGGCCACCTAATGTAGGTGGCCAGGCTGCTCCTCATTTTATGTGGCAACCACCACAGCAGCAACAAGAACAACAGCCTGCAGCTGCTGGGGCCACAACAACAGCAGCCACAACAACAACACAAGCACAGAATCAACCAGGTACAGTTTGTGATGTTTAAACAAACTGTGACATTTGTTTTACCCACAACTTGTTTGTGGAAGGTTAAAGCTATTATCATGTGTCATTTGTTGATGTATATTTTGCTATGTATATTATGTGTCTGATATTGTTTCATTGATCAGTCTTTTCCTTTGTGCTCTGTGTTTTCTTTTTTTAACTTGTCTTGTTAGTGTTGTCATAGTGAAATGAATTCAGCCATATTCTGTTTGAAATATTTGCAGCAGCGACAGCAGCCAGCAGCTCTGGAGGATCAACGGGGACAGCAACAGCTTCTCCACCACTTACAAGTTCTTTCATGTCCCCCATGCCTCCCTTTATGCCATTAATGCCCCCTATGTTTTTACCATTTGGTGAGTATATTAAATTACATTGTCTGGTTTGAAGTGTAATTTCTAGGTTTGAGTAAGACTCAGCTAGTGTATGGTGGTTTCAGTCACAGGCATGTTGGACAATTCAAGCTGTTGTCCTTTGTATGATGGGATCATCTGTACCTGATCTGCAGTGCCAGTGAGCTTTGTTTCCTGGAACCTCCTGCCAAATATTCTCATCACATGCCATGAATAAATATCAAAATATCATCGGCAGAGGATCTTGGGGTTGGTGGTCCTAGAGGTGCAGTGCCCAGAAATAATAAAGAAGTAAAATTTGAAATGAGTTTACTGATGTAAGAATCAGCATCACAGCACACCGGGCATACCCATACATGCTCCGTCTCCAGCATATGACAGATGGTGACTAATGAGGGTTGGCTATCTGACAGTACAGACAACTGCAGCTGTGAAACAGATGTTTCAAACTTGACTTTGGCTCACAAGCTGACCCCGCCCAAAATGGCTACCACTAATGACCTGGAAAGTAAATGCAGCTAGCATGATTAACCACATCAGCCATCGGGTGCCTATGTCTATACACACAATCTGTCTGTCAGTGTCTGCCTCATACACCTCAGACGTGAACAGGGATCCTTTAGTTGCCAAAACCCTCTCATCATTAACAAACCTTGGCATGGGTGAGTTAGAGCATTATGCTCTATTAGGAGATGAAAGACAGAAGAAACTCAAGAATATGAAATGTTACTACTCCATGTGTTGAAATTGTAGAAATAAAAAAGTGGTTTTTACATCTAGAGTGACTGAATTCCAACTGGCTACCTTTTTATATCAGTTATAAAAATCAAACTCGTAAGAGCTCAAGACAGGTGATCAGTAAATAGTTAGATAGCAATAGAACAGAGACGCCCACATTAAAGGATAAAGGAGCAGCCATTTGAAAGAGTGTACAACCTGTGCTACTTGTGATCATATGACCTATATGTGATCATGTGACCTATATGTGATCATATGACCTATACGTGATCAAATGACCTATCATTGTTATCAGGCTCTGAAATAGTTTTCTTAACTTCACTCTTATAATAAACCTTGTGTATGTTTGGAAATTAGTATTTTGTGTTTGTTTTTAGGATTTCCTCCACCACCGATACCTACAACAGGCCTTAGTGAGGACGAGCTTCGAGTCATGGAAGGAATTGAGAGGTCCAACATAGAGGCTCGCATTCAGTGGTTGAGAGACATTCAAGCCCTGTTAGATGGAGCTATGGTGCTTATTAATCAATACAACAATGTCGCTAGTCATATAGGGTAATCTGCCAGATTTCTGACTTTTTTGTCTCTGTCTTTTTTGTTCTTACATTGTTAAGGTGAACTGTCTGGTATTGTAAGTTGTTCCAGGATTACAGGATTAACACCTCAAGGATGAGAATCCTGCATGTACAAATCCTGCTAATCCCCATTTAACTTTACGGTTATATTGGGGCCCCAGACAGTTATGAAGTAACCTGAAATCTGGACTAGGCAGGGACTTTAAGTGTTTTGTGTCCTCATGAGATTTATAGATTAATATAACAGTTTTGATGCACTGATGGTCCCCAATTTACAATGACTGAGGCCCAGTTAGGGTATTTTCTTAGCCTCAATAATTTGGGACCATTATTCGGAGGATAGCCTGTTTCCCGTGTGGGTTCCGGGACCTCATTGTGTGTAAAACAAGAATAGACCCACTGCCTCCCCAACAAGCATGTCGTAAAAGTAGACTAATTGGGAGCTTCTTTCGAAGTCGGAGATCTTCTGCCTGAGAGGCAAGGAACCAAAATTTGCATGCAAGTATGTCATATCTGTAAAATGGATGTGGATGCAACACTCAAGCTCTGGAACAAGAATATATCCAGAGGTTGACAAACACCATAAACTACAGCAGGAGTTTACAGCCGGTGAATGCAGAAACAAAATGTAGTAGTAATAATCTTTTGGCACAAACCTACCATGTGCAGTTGCTGCACTCAGCAGTTTTATTCTTCAACTCTAATTAGCAGAATTGAATGCTTGTCAACTCGAGAGACCAGTAGTAAAGAAACAGAATGATCTGTCTTAAGGCTGGCACGACCCTTCGAGCCATGTTCCTTTCCGTAATGGTATGACCAGATGAGAGGTTGACTTTCGACACTGCCATCGGTCCTCTTTTTTCGTCAGCGATAACAGCATTGCATGATTATTACGACATCTGGTGCAGAATACCATAATGTTGCAGGAAAGCAACGCTAGTCTCCTTGTCGGGCTGCTAATTCCAGGAAATTCATGGCGATGAAGACTGAACACACAAGTTGCTGGAGAGATGCCCGTCTGAAGAAAAAATGCGCCAACATATTGGCAACGCTTCGCAATGAAAACACACACCCACACAGAGTGGGAAAACTGCTTTTATCCTCAAAAGTATTGGACTGTCCCTGTGATGTCATCTGGGGAGAAATATTGGGAAAGAACCAATATTTGTCCAGCCAAGATTGAAAACCTCTGTCTTCAAGTTGGAGGTGGTTGCCCTAGCCACTGAGGCACCCACTTTTTGATTACATTACAGTTGCCCATGTATGCCATGGTGCCAGCTGTTATTGATAGTCAGTTTTTCACCAGTTATATAATGTGTGATTTAAACAGAGCTCCCACAACAGTTGTAGCACTCAGCAACCACAGACAAGGCAAAGCAACAAGAACAATCTCGAGTGTATCTGAACCAGAGAACAGACAAAGAAACCACACTGTGATCATAGTTGTGCTACTTCTGCACACATTTGTATTTTGTTGTCTATTAACAGCAGAGTGGCTAGTGGGCAGATTTCCATTTCTTCCTTGTATTTATTGCCAGGTAGTTTCATAGAGCATGCTTCTCTACAGTCTGAGTGTTTTCTGTTTCCGTTCTAGTCAGAGGATGTGTGTCACAGCAGGTGCATGCACACTGTTCAGCTCCCAAAGCCATCTCGTGGCTATTCCAACCATCCAAGTAGGCTTCTGTTCATGCAGAGCTAATGCATGATGCTCTAATTCTGGGACGTCCTGTGCAATCATGATGTCCTCCACTTGGCTGCCTAGTGTCACTTCTAAATATTGTGTGTTTGGGAGGGTTTTGTGCTGATCCAAGTCCTTTTGGGAACAAAATGAAAAGGTCGGCCACTTTCAGACTGCTGCTAGCTAGCCGAGGCTGCTAACAGTCTCCACCTATATTTGTGGTCTGGGTTATTTGTGTCACTTTCATGATTAAATTCTAGTATTGTGCCATTTCTGGGCTTGATGATCCCACCACTTTCTTTGGAAATATTACCTGGTGAGGCCGCAGTCTTATACAGTGCAACTCTTGTAGCACTGTCTGAAAGTCATGAGAATGGTCTTTCTATACTTGGTACCCTATTTATTATGGGCTGTGCCTTTAGAAACCAGAATATACTTTGTTTGTTGACTGTTGATGATTTTCCCTGGAAAGAGCAGTCCTATATTTTCTCGGCAGGGTACTAGATGTTCTTCACACAACACACACACACGCACGCGCGCGCACACACACACACACAGTGTGTGCTCGAGCTCGCCATTTGTTCCCAGAATCAGGGTCATGGTTGATGCCTTCAGTACTGGTATTCCTTGAGAGCTTGTGTTCCAGATGGAACAACATTAGGAAAATAAGCAGAGCAGCATTTTTTGACAGATTTGAACTCCAGGCAACCGATCACCGGAGAAGTAACTGCATTATGTCAGCTCAGACTGACTCGTGTTAATTCAGTTGTTATTAGAGGAACAAAAGAACTGGCAGTTTTTTTCCACATTTTTGGTGAGATTTATGTTTTGACCATGTTTTCATATTTTATAAGGACAACAAATAAGGTAAACTTACTGTTAAACTTGCTTTTTATCAGAGATGTCAGCAAAATAAACATGTGTTCTGTATCTTTCACCTGACAGAGTAACAGGTGTTCATACAGCAAGAGTACAGCCAGCTTATCCAGCTTCAACCTCACAGGCTTCAGCTGAGCCAGTTCCGGGCAGTACAGACCAGCAGACGCAACAAACGTCAGCCAGCTGGTGGCCGGAGGGTTCTGGGGCACGTCCCAAGTACACATCTACAGTGTCTCAACCAGAAACTACCGACTCTGTCAAGGAGAGGAAAAACAGCTGTATTACAACATCAGATGCAGAAGAAGGTCTGTGAGAACTGGCTTTATATTTGTTGCAACAGAAGTTCATGGTACCTCGATGTATATTCACTTCTGTGTACCTTCAAGCTTGCATACGCTGGTATACCCCCCTTTACATGTGAAAACATTTGCTTAGTAAACGACCTTCGTTTAGAATACATATTTGTATAATAAAAATTAGTCCCGACACAGCACATTGTCCTTGTTTATCTTTCGAGAGACGAAGCCTATTTGCCAGTTGTCCACGACTGGTGATTGACAGCCCTATGTTACAATTTGTTTTATGTAATATGCACACATTATTTTTCCAGCACAAATTTATTGCAAGGAAAACAAAGTCCCCATGTTTGGAAAGACTGATTCAACTGGGGATGTACAAGGATCTGGAAGATTTTGACCATACAGGAAAAAGGACAGGCAAACTTGTGATCAGGTTGCAATGGGTGCCAACAGTATGGGAATGCTTTATTGGCTGCTTAGGAAGGGGACAGAGCAGATGTGGAAATGTCCTGAGGACAGTGATGTCGGTCATTGACTTAAAAATCTGATTCATGTAACTACTGAAACAATTTATGGAAAGAGATGGAGGAAACAGTTAAAAGAAAGAAAAAAAAAACAGTTAAAAGAAAGAAGAAAAACAGTTAAAAGAAAGAAGAAAAACAGTTAAAAGAAAGAAGAAAAACAGTTAAAGAAAGAAGAAAAACAGTTAAAAGAATTACTTGAACATTTGATCATGGCATGGAAGAGTGTGTCCATACAGAAACTGATACTTGCTGCTCTTGAATACCACAACATTTGAAGAAGCACGATTGCTAATGAAAAGGCACTTGATAATGATGATTGGTTTATTTTCTTTTGTTGATCGTTTCAACATTTTTCACTCTGTTAAATTCTGTATAAGCATCAGTATAAGTGCATTGTTTTTACCTTTTATCGTCATTGTCAGCTGAAAATGACAACCAGGCTAGTTTTTTTAAGAGGTAGAAGTGGCTGGTGAGACATTTACTTACAAGATGCCAGCTGGTCTAAAAATACAGGGCTACTCCCATATTTGAATTATGCTTGTGGCATGGAAAAAGTCCTTTTTGTGACAGTGTAACATCATTGTGTTGTATTATTGTAACTTGTCATTGAAAAAAGACTAATAAGGATCCATACTTTGTGTTTTTTTACAGATAAGCCATTAGAAGGTGCTACGGGAATCACATTGCCAAAAGAAATATCCATTCATGAATGGGAAAATTCAAGAGAGGATGAGCGTGAAGATGAAATGAATGAAGTTCGCAAGCGCCGACTCCAGCATTTCGCACAGCAGAAGGACAATGGCTCCACCCATGCATCGGTTTCTCTCCCCAATGGTGATAAAGACAATAACAAGCTGGATAAGCAAGAGAAATGTTAGCAGTGTATGAAATCGTGTGTTTAGTTGTTTTACTGAGTATGTTTATTGAAAGTTGCCAGGTGAGTTGTTTTGTGACAGATTTCATCAAGTGGGCAATGCTTTTGTGGTTATGTGTTGTCAGTCTCAGAGGAAGGATTTGTAGCATGTTCTTATGCAGTTCATTTCATTTGTAAACAGAGAAGAGGAAGTTCATTCGTTGACTGACTGTTTCCTTTTTTCTTTCAGATTGATGCCTTATGTAAACCTTGTGTTGTATTTACTCCTCAGAAAGGGGTAAAACTTGCCAGTAAAAAACCTTATTCGTTTTGTTCATGTTCTACCAATAAACTGCTTTGAGAAGGTGAACATTAACCAGTGCATTAGACCCGCATAGTTTGGAATGTTTCTGTGATAACTAATTGCCAGGTATTCATTGCTCAAGCATGTGGAGAAGTTTGCATGCTGGCAAGAGGTGTAACCTGTCATTTAGTAAAATTGTTAGATGCTACTGACTGGTGTCCGTCACATGATGTTTGTAGCTTGGTTTGTGACAAGAGTTGTAGATCTGAAACATGAAGTTTTATGAAAATTGACTCGGTTACTTGGTTCTATGAAAGGATTGAAAGAGCCTTATTGAAGCAAAGTGGTCACTGCTTTTGATAAGATGGTCAGTAAAGGACCCGTTTCCATGCCTTTCAGGCATATTGGGTATATAGGGCTAGACCTATATTTTATAGAGCAGCGGCACAAGATGGGTGATGTGGTCAGCATCACGCCGGCCGCCTTAACTTTCCAGGACTGCGCCTGTACCCATTCAATGCTGGGTCAACCTGGTACCATGGTCATTTTTGAAAATAGTCTGGCTCTGACAGGGTACGAACCCTGGACCTTCTGATCTGCAAGCAAGCGTCTAGCCGCTACACCACAGTGACTCCCTTTGATAAGATGATGATGGACTATATATGATGTTTCTGAAACTTGGAACTCCTATCAAAACTCTGGGAGTGGGATAGCCATTTCTTCTCTCTCATGGACTCATAGTCAGGTTTGAAAACTTTCTTTTGAAGTAGCTTTTTTTATGTTCTTTTTATGTCTTTACTGGTGAAGATTTATAATTTCTGTTCATTTTTCCTCTTGGGGCAAAGTTAGGTCAGCCTCATTTTGTTTGCAGATATACAGATTGCTAACCACAAGGCCATTTTTTTTTTCTTTTCTTTTTGCAATAAATTGGCTGTTTCAGATCATCACATTTTGTACATCTCTCGTGGTAGCATGGTTGCTAGGTCTGGTGTTTTCCACCACATTGGTTTTGCACTTTCTTTTTACTGCCAAATTAACCATCTGAGCTTCATAGATAGGCATGGAAAATCTCTGGGATATTCTGTTAAGGAAAAGTCATGAAAGAAATTGTCCAGCCCATCTTGATTCTACTATGTCTAAAGTATGTGATCCCACTTAACACTGAAAACCAGTTGCAGTATTTGCCATGTGATCTCTCTCTCATTCCCAGCTTCCCTTTCCTCCAAATTTCCTGTTGCATCCTCCAGCTAACAGTTTCTGCAGGCTACACAATACAAAAGCAGATGTCTGACACATGAACTGGGAGCTTACATTTAGCTGTAAAACTGACTACCAAATGAAAATGTTCTTAAATCAAAGATTTCAACATGTTCACTATTATCACCAGAAAGTATTGCCACTTTTTCCACATCTTAAGTACATTAGTTATTCAGCAAAACTTGGAAACAAGGAACTTTCAATGGCCTGCTCACATAGTGTATAGTGCAAGCTCCTGCTAGATTTCCGATGAGACTGGAGCATTTTGGCAACAGCAGAATGTTATTGATGACATGACAGAAAATATTGAAAGTTAAAGACAAGATTTAAAAGTCATGCAGACTTTCTTTTCTTTCAAAACTGAACATTCAGCGGCTGAACTTTGCCCTTGCCAGAAAAAAAAGGGAGAGAAAATCAGTCAAAGATAATAGAATTTTTCAAAAGCAGAGTTTCTCATTAGCACCATGACATCGATCATAATTGGGAGATTAGTCATGCAGCTTACAAATATTATTCATTTGTGTGTGTATTGAAAGTCCTTTTTCTTTTACTTAGCATTCACTGGCTGTTAACTCTGGCAGAATGTTCCGGTTGCTGATCCAGTTCTGAACTTTAGTCTTGTTCCGGAACTTAAATTTGTGTGCACATCCATTATACAGATCTGCTTATTTGTATGCAGACTTTTGGTTCCTCACTCAGGCAGCCGGACAAGCCTTGGACGAGCCAGGCTAATATACTAAATGCTGTACGAGATATAAGACGTTTGCATGAACCAGTTGAGAACTGTGAATCTGCAACCATGGTCCGACTGCAAGAACCCGGTTAAACGGGGTAGCCAAAGATTAATAATAAACCAACACAGAACTATTGTCATCAGCCGCTACTCGCTGCCGGATTCACTGAGGAGAGGATCCTAGCACTTATGTATATGCAATGAGGATGATCTGTCAACTAACGCAGACAAATGTGCCGGCTCTGACTTTAGAGGAAAATTCCCTGGCTAGTCACATTTCATGATATGCTTGAGGCAGTGGGTCTGTTTCCTCCTTCCCCCACCAGTGGAGCCCCAGAACCCACACAGGGAGAAAGTCTTCAAATACAGACAAAGAAATCCAATGACGACAGTCTTATCAGTGAATGTATCAAGTAGGGATCCCCATGAGTACCAGTAGTAAGTTTGCAGCCACACATTAAAATCGCTATTATGCCACCATCAGAATGTTTGATGCATAATTGATTGTTCATTTCTGATCTATATTTATGTTAGCTGTATATATAAAACACTTTAAATAGTCTACAGTTTCATTTTGCATTGACACACTTCAGTGTTGAGTGATAAGTAGAATGGCTGTCTGAAGACTTATCATATGATGAAATCTCATTGACTCTCAAAATATGAATGGTTCCATTGGCTTCAGTTCCATGTGTGACTTGTACTAATGTTCTTGAAGCCAGCAAATCCATTGGCTCATTGCCTGGCTCTCTTGCAAGACCTCCAACAGTCCCAAGTCCTTTCTTGCAGTAAATGTATGTCCAGGCTTGACACCCAAGTGTGTCACATGCAGTGGTCATGTACATCACATAGAGTGAGGCACAGTGATTGCTTCGGCCACCTCAAAGCTAGTCTGGCTGCAGCCACCTCCCTTGCCATATCTGAGATCATAGGCCCATCTACCTGATTCAACATTTGAGTCCTCAGTAATGACTCACTGATTCTAGCTGTTTCCAGTTCTCAGTAATGACTCATTGATTCTGTCTCCAGTTCTCAGTAATGACTCGTTGATTCTAGCTGTCCCCAGTTCTCAGTAATGACCCATTGATTCTAGATGTCTTCAGTGCTCAGTAATGACTCTTTGACTCCAGTCCTCATCAGTGGCCCAACCATTGCCTGTGACTGAGAGTCTACCAATATATTTATCTCCAACATGCACCGAAGAGTTTGTGTACATTATACATCATCCGTGCCTAGAAATTGATCAAAGGCTGCCTTGTGATGTACACAACTTGATGAGATGACATGTATGTTTTGATTCATTTTTGATGTAAATAAATAAGAGAACAAATGACATCTTCTGACTGCACAACAGATTTATCTGCATTAGATGTGCTTAGTATCAATAGAATGTGAGTGGATAGCTACAACTGTATACAACAAACATCAGTAAATATCATCAAATTACATGGGATCATAATGTTCAATTAATGTAATCTACTATATCTTTTCACCCCAAGAAGTGTGTTAGTGATTAAGTAATTGGGTAAAGATCCCTTTTTTCACCCCATGAGGTGTGTTAGTGATCAAGTAATTTAGTAAAGGACTCCTTTTTACCCCGTTAAGTGTGTTAGTGAATAAGTAATCAAGTAAATGTCTCTTTTTCACCCCATGAGGTGTGTTGGTGAATAAGTAATTTAATAAAGTTCTTCTTTTTACCCCATGAGGTGCTAATGCCCTATGTTATTTTAAGCAGTGACTATTTATGTCTTCTTTGTCAATATCTGCTTATGCGTGCCCCTAGGCGTCACAGTTCATCAGGCGATCGGCAGCCGAGCCAGGGCGCACTCAGTCACTTGATATGCCGGGATGTTATGCAGTCTCAAGGTATCAGCAACTCCTTCAATCTACCTTCTTCTCGGTTTTCCCCTGCCTTTTGATGTTTCAGTTTTCAGGTTATACACTCTTGCTGCTGGGCATTGATGGTTTCATTCTCATTAGATGGCCAAACCATTTCATTCTTTGTTTCTTAATAAATTTGACGATGGGTGTTCCAACATTCTTGTGATCACATTGTTTCTCACTAGATCTCTTCTGGTTTTATTCACAGCCATTCTCAAACATTTCATCTCACAGGTTTTTAGTTTTCTTTCATGTTCTTTTGTCAAATTTTTTTTTTTTTTGAAGACAAAGGTTATATTGCAAGGTGTTAATGACAGACCTATAGTCTATATTGACCGTGAAGAGCTTGAGACAGTAGACCATTTTACCTATCTGGGTTCCACAGTGAATAGTAATCTATCGCTGGACCAAGAAATCAACATCAGAATAAGTAAGGCAGCAACAACAATGAGCAGATTGAGTTTGGTAGAACAGAAAGCTCACAATTTAAACAAAAACCCTTGTCTATCAGGCTTGGATTCTCAGCACTCTGCTTTATGGTAGTGAAACTTGGTCAGCCTATTTGCACCAGGAGAGATGACTTTCACATGTGATGCCTAAGAAGAATATTTGGCATTAAGTGGCAGGACAAAATCACAAACACTGAGGTGCTGGGAGGAGCAGGCACTACAACAGGCTTTTCCATGCTCAGTCTACGAAGGTTCAGTTGGCTGGGTCACACCTGGAGAATGGCAGAGACCCTAAGGACATCCTTTATGGTGAATTAAAGACATGAAGAAGATGTTGAGGCCGACCTCTACTATGATATAAAGATGTGTGCAAGCGGGACATGAATGATACAGGTATTGAG